GTCCTTTTTGTTTCTCTTAAGCCATTAAGACGTCAACTTGTTGGCATGTTTTGAATCATTGTCCTGCTGCAGAACCCAAATCTGCTTCAGCTTGAGGTCCAAAACAGATAACCAGACATTCTTTTTCAAGAAATTTTGTTCATTTACCACAGCAAGTCTTTCAGGTCAGTTTAACACACAGCGCAATATAGGTTTGGATTTTTTTCCCTTTAATAATAAACACTTTCATTTATAAACTGCAATTTGTGTTTATATGTGTTATCTTTGTCTAATATTTAAATTTGTTTGATGATCTGAAACATTTAAGTGTGGCAAACATACAAAAACAGGAAATCAAGAAAGGGGTGAACACTTTTTCACACAACTGTATATATGCAGACTATCTCAGACCTTATGCAGGCATGTTGTGAGTAAAACCAGAAAAGCAAACTCTCCACCAATGATTTCCTTGGTGAAATTTGGTTCAGGATACACTTCTCCCTCTGTCTAAAAATGAAAGTTGAAAAAGAAGAAATTCAGTGTTTTCAGCATCTTGTCGAATCTGTGACATGAAGAAATAAGGCATTTTTAAAAGCCTGCACACTGGACGTCTCTGAAATGAATCAAGTGTAACATTTATCCAATAAAGCAGGGGTGTCAAACGTACAGCCCGTGGGCTGGATCAGGCCCGCAAATGGGTTTAATCCGGCCCATGAGATGATTTTGTAAAGTATAAAAATTAGCAGCAATTTTTCAATAAAGAAACTGCTGTTCCAATTGTGTCCATTGGATGGCACAATAGCAATTGTGAGCTACTTTGTTTTGCCCGCGAAATTTAAACCTGATGTGCAATATGTCTCTGTCAAAAAAGAGAAAAGTGGATGCGGAGTGCAGAGTGTTCCTAGAAAAATGGTCATCCTCCTATTTATTCACGGAAGTGAATGGGAAAGCTGTATGTTTGGTGTGTTCCCAGCATGTTGCAGTGCTGAAAGAATATAACCTCCGTCGCCACTATGTGAGTCTTCATGCCGACAAATATGACAACTTTCAAGGACAGCGGAGAAGAGAGAAGGTGAATGAGCTGTTGGCGGGTCTGAAGAAACAGCAGTCTGTGTTTACTCACAGCCGAGACATCAGTGATGCTGCAGTGAAAGCTAGCTACCTCATTGCTAACGAAATTGCACTAGCTTCAAAACCATTTAGTGAGGGTGAATTTGTAAAAACATGTATGATGAAGGCATCGGAGATTGTGTGCCCTGAAAAGCGCCAGGCCTTTGCAAATATCAGCCTGACAAGAAACACAGTTGCCGACAGGATTTCTGATCTTTCAGCGGATTTGGACAGCCAGTTGAAGTCATTTATTGTGTTTTCAGTTGCAATTGATGAAGGCACGGACATTACAGATGTTGCACAACTGGCAATTTTCATCCGCGGAGTTGATGACACATTGACCGTCACCGAGGAGTTCGTGGAGTTGGTACCGATGACAGATACAACGACCGCAGCTGATATTTTCACCGCACTCGTCGGCGCGCTGGACAGGGTCGGAGTGGACTGGTCCCGCGCTGTCAGCCTGGCTACAGATGGTGCGCCCTCAATGATCGGGAAGAAAGCAGGCGTTGTAAAAAAGTTCAGAGATAAAGTGCAATCTGCAAATGGAGGACGTGATTTTTGGACTTTTCACTGTATTTTGCACCAGGAGGCTTTGTGTTGCAAGTCACTGAAAATGGATAACGTCATGAAGGTGGTCATCCAAACTGTTAATTTCATCCGATCCAGAAGCCTCAATCACCGTCAGTTTGACAGTCTTCTCAGAGAGAAAGACCACATCTATGGCCTGCCATACCACACTGAGGTAAGATGGTTGAGCCGAGGTGCTGTGCTGAGGCGTTTCTTTGATTTACGAGAAGAAATTGAACAGTTTATGGAAGAAAAGGGCAAACCAGTGTTAGAATTTCATTCCGCAGAATGGATGCAGGACCTTGCATTTATGGTGGATGTTACAGAGCACCTGAATAACTTGAACAAACAGCTGCAAGGAGGCAACAAAGTTGTCACGCAGTATTATGACAGCATACGTTCTTTCAAGTTGAAGCTGTTATTGTGGGAGACGCAGCTCGCTGGTGGTGATGCAGCTCACTTCCCCTGTCTGAAAAATGTGTGCACGATCCAAAGTGTGGCAGATATGAAGCGGTTTAAAGATAAAATAACGGGACTGTTACTAGAGTTTGAGCAACGATTTCAGATTTTTGGTGAACTGGAGAAAGACTTCAAAGTTTTTTGCTCGCCGTTCACCGTGAATCCCCGTCAGGATCCAACTTGAAATAATAGACTTGCAGTGTGACTCGGATTTGAAGGGCAAATTTGCCGCAGCTGGCTTGAACACATTCTATCAGAATCTCTTGCCAGGTTACCCCAACTTGACAGCCCTCGCTGCAAAACTGTTGTGCATGTTCGGAACCACGTATCTTTGTGAGCAAGTTTTCTCTGTAATGAGCATAAATAAAACAAAACTGCGCTCAAGGCTCACGCACAGGCACTTGAATCACATCCTGAAGTTAGCTGCCGCTCAGGATGTGAAGCCTGATATTGATGAGCTGGTGAAAGCTAAAAGATGCCAGGTATCAGGAGTCAAATAAACTATGCAACCCCACTGAAAGTGCTGCATGAGACACCCTGATGTAGTTCTGTGATCTGTGATATACTTCTAACGCCTCTCATCCGAGAAGCTTCTTCAGTTCTAAGGGTCAAATGGTGGAGAGTCCCAGATTTAAACCCAGTGGGAGTTTCCCCCCAAAGAGGGACAAAAGGACCCCCTGATGATCCTCTACCTAATCACATGAGCCAAGGTGTGAAAAGTGTGCAGATGAACACTACTACTGAATGGGAGTGCCTAAAGAGCCAGTTGTTTGCTTGTTCTCTACTTCAGGGAGCAGTTTCTCTACCTTTCCAGTCTTACAATTACCAGCCCTCCTCCCCCACCTCCTCATACAACACATCACTTGCACACAATTGCAAGGAAATTAATATGGTAAACTGTGAAAATCTAGCAATAATGTTACTGTTATTTAATGGAATAATTATGAAACAAACACCTCAGTTTCTGACATTTAATTGTTTCTGTTTCTTGATTTAGCTGAGAACTGATAAAACACATTATTATGCTGTCAGATATGAGAACACAGATCTTTCTTCTCCAACTTACTGTAAGCCAAAGCTTCATATTAAACATTTACTGTCTGCATATCTTTTCAGTGTGTTAAATTTTGTAGAATTTAAATCAGTCTCTTTAAATTGTCATTTAAAATAATGTTGCCGTGTCATCCTAGGCCAGGTTTCAAAAGATGGCAGTTTATAACAGCTGACTAGATAGCTTGATTGACCGTGGAGTCAGTCAGCTTTGACCTGAATGAATACCAAACTACTTTACTTATTCTCCAAGCAGGAATGTTAACAGAAGTTAAACAAGAACCAGCTAGAAAAATATTAACAAAGTAAACAGTATGCTCAGTTGTTCTAAAATGTCATGAAAAAGTCAAAAAGCATATCTGGACATGCAGACAGAAGATATTATTCGTTTTATTCAATAATAAAAGTAATAGGTGCAACATGAACTCTTGGATGAATGTGTAGTTTTGTTTATTGTGCATGCCATCTTTGTCAGATAACATATTAGTGATGAGTTGTACTCTAAAGATATTAATATTAATCCTTATTTATTTCTATCAATGACATATGTCAACATGTTTAATTAGAGAGTTTACTAAAAGTACTAATTTTCCAATTCTCTAAAGCTCTACTGCAGTGATGACACGTATTCCAAAAGATATTCTCTCATCTAACACATCGTTCTAAAATTTCTTCTAGATATTCAGTTGAATTGCTTAACCTGCAACCTACAGACAGGCCTCCATACAGAACCCAGAGGGATGTTTTTGCAAGTGTTTTACTGACATTGTAAATCAGTTTACTCAGGATAAAAGTTTCAAGTTGTATCACAGAAATGTCTAGATTTTTGTTTTATAAAATATGCAATAATGATAATAGTATAGTTTCTTTAAATGACATTAAATACATAATTAATAATTCTGTGAAGTTTTGCTATTTACAAGTTCTAAATTAAATTTTAAGTAAACTGTGCAGTTATTTAATTGCATTCCTCATCAGAAAAGTTTGTTTTATTATTGCTGTCTACAGAGCTCTGCAGACAGCAGCTTTGGTCTCATGGTTTGTAATTTGTTCTTCACCTGCATGTGGCTTGGTTATCTTACAAAATAAATTAGCATGACTTTATCTGTATAAATCTTTGATTTCAGGTAGTTTTAGTATATCAGTGACTTAATTTAAGGTGATTTTTTAAATAGTCTGAATACTTTACAAACATTTAAAGATTACATGTTCCTGTTTTTTACCCATGAAGTATGGAATGATTCATGACAAGGAAAAAAAATTGACAATAAACAATTTTAGTTTTAGGGTGTAAAGGGAATGAGTCATAATGGTTTCCGAATACAGTGCGAATAGTTGTCAAATCATGGCAACATGATACTAGCTAGTCATTAGGACACTTGACAGCACCAGTAACTAATTTGTAATTAAAATATAATTTTATGTCTAAATAGTAAATCATGGTGCCGAAACACACAACTGACACATCAATGACAACTGGCACGTGTACAGAATTTCATCCCAATCTTAAAAGTGAGAAGTCCACGGGTAGGTTTTTCATTGACTTTGAAATTAATATTAATGTAGCAAGAATGACTGAACTGTGAAAAGGGCAGAAGTCTGTCATGGAAAATGACATAAAAAAAACACATAATTGTTTTTTTAAAGTGCACTCTGGTCTTTAAGCTCTGGACATTAAAAAAAATCACTGGAGTTCTGTAGTCTTTGTCCCAGAAATTAAAGGAAGAAGGAAATGTTTCAGCATTCTGGCTGTGGGGTGTGCACGTGGGAGGGGCAAATATAAAAGTGACACACGGTTTATATATTTGCCACTCACTGACAGCTGGCTCACAAGTATAAAAAGAGGGACACGCGAGAACTGTGCAGTTACACAATGGTGTTAAGGAAGTGGATTCATTTATTGGCTTTGGTGAGCCTCCTGTCTGCAGGTAAGTCAGACCAACATTTGCATGTAACATAACTGTATGCAAATATAAATTCAGGATCTCCTCTCTTGAACATCACTGATCCTGTTGTGTTTCTTTCCAGAATCAAATGCTCAGCTTGATGGTAGGTAAAAATAAGAGTTTCTCTGAGTAAAACAAAAAGCAAAAACATTCATAAAAGTTATAAACTGCTTCATTTAATTATCTATGTTTTTGACATTACAATTCATTTCATCAGCGATCCAACTACAAACAAGGAAAAAAATGTTTTCCATATCTCACAATGATTTACGTTGCTTCTGAAGTTTGATCCTGCTGATCTTTGTTTCAGTATGTGGCACTGCTCCACACAGCAGCAGGATAGTAGGAGGTGAAGATGCTCCACCTGGATACTGGCCGTGGCAGGTCAGCGTGCAGATATTTGGTAAACATTTTTGTGGCGGTTCCCTCATCAACAAAGAGTGGGTGATGTCTGCTGCTCACTGCTTCTTTCGGTGTGTAACACAAACGTCTGTTTAATCTTTATGCCTAAACTGATCCAGCTAGAACAGGGTAGAGGTGTGCAGATCGATCCAAATATCAATAGTACTGATATCAACTCTGACATTGATATCAAATCGATACTAGCGCGATGCGATTGATACTTTGTGTTTGTGGGCACAAGTTCAAGTGCAGGTGGGGTGGGGGAATCAGTGAATAGCAAAGGTGATGTCTTTCAGCCTGCTGGTTCCAGGGCAGAGGCTATTA